TTCAAAAGTGAACAAACGTAGAGGTTATGTCCCCTCGTTAGTATATGATATCAATGGATGAGAAAGATACTTCTTCATTTCAAAAAAATTTCACCCAATAATATGGGTGTTGCTGAAGGAAAAGATCTTTGAAGACAATGGCGACTAACAGTGTTTGGAAAAAAATTGTAGCTTTGATCGATTTATGTGAAGTATGAATTAGTGCCGCACCTCCATGTCTCTCTAGAAACTTCATTTCTAGCGAGATGTTCAGATATCGAAGTCATCCTATATAATACTGATAATTAACCGAGTTTATTTTACTTTTTGTGATTATTCCAACTTCGTTACTTTGAAGTGAATAATGATATTTGTATTGTACAATGACAAGTTGTTGATGAAAAGATAAAATTTGATTTCATATCAGATGAAAACTAAAGAACATTTTTTTAAAAAAATGACACATGCAAAGAAAAAGATCGGTCGCCTATAAATCTCAAAATACTCTTTCGCTTCTACAAAAGGTTTATTTTCGGGAATTGTTTTTCAATATATTTTTATTGATCATGATATTTTCTGTCTCACAGCTTTTTCCTGCTCTATCAATGCGAAATTTTTCTAACAGCTCTGTCAAGGGAATCTATGCGAGAGAAGAATATCAGTATTGTGAAAACATTATGAACTAAAACCGTAATATTTTGTAGCATTAAGAAACTCTAACGTCAGATACTTCGTTATAGTTTTTGCTTGAAGCAACTATACGATAAATCTATCTTTTCCAAAAATATATTTTAGGATTTGTTGAATAAAATATTTATTCGTGTTAAGGATAAGGGTCGATTGCTCTTTGGTACTTCTCTATGATGACATCGTTCATTTCTTTCTCTGTTGTCGACATCTACATATAAACAAATGTGTTCGTACATAATGATTCCTCATCTATCTTTGTTTCCTGTTTTCTCTTCTATAAAGAAATGACAAAATGCAAAATCGGCCGTAGACTGTCCCACTGCTTCTTTATAATATACGATGCAAAACTAATGGGACAATATGTCGATCCTTATGTTTCTTCGATAAATACGTTCTCAAAGGAATATCTTTTTCTATCAATTGATAGACAATTCTCTTCTCTTTCGAACAATATATTATTTTTACTACTCTAACATTCGTAGATAAAATGCGGTGAGAGAAAAAAAGAGAAATATTTGCGTTTTTCATCTAGATTCGTCAAAAATATGCTGTAAGACAACATTTAATTATAATTATCTGTACTGTTAGCAAATCGTTTTGACGAGTCTATAGAAAAATTGAAAATTTATTGTGCAAACATTTCGATTTTTATTTGATCTCATTTTATTTACGAATATGTGACAAATATAAATCATTGATAAATCAAAACAGAAGAAAATTTTCTAACAACTAATAAAAAAATATTCGTTTTGGAACATGTTTATCGAAGTAATATAGGGATTGACATTTTGTGCCATTTTTTTGAAAGTTATGAAAAATGTAAAATCGTTTTAAGAATGCTTTTCTTTCTTGTTGTCGAAAGAGAAAAAAAAAATTTCTTCAAGTATTCGTCTATTGAAGAGAAATAGGGACTGACATATATCCCATTACCTTTGTACGATATGTGATATTATCTGTCGTAGAATACGAAGAAATCTAATTAGTGTGGATGTGGGTGTGGGTGTGGGTGTGGGGTCTGGGTGTGAGTGTGAGTGTCGGAGAACACATCTTCACCCACACCCACACCTACACCCACACCCACACCCACACCTACACCCACACCCACACCTACACCCACACCCACACCCACACCCACACCTACACCCACACCCACACCTACACCCACACCCACACCCACACCCACGCCTACACCCACACCCACACCCACACCTACACCCACAACCATACCCACATCCCACCCACACTCAATACCCACCAACACCTACACCCATACCCACCACCCCGGTCAGACCGGTTTTTACCGGTCGATCCGGTCCGGTCTAAAATTTTCAGACCGGTACCGGCACCGGTCTGGAAAAAAGTGGACCGGTTCCATCTCTGCCCACACCCACACGCACACATTCTCACACCCACCCGCATTCCCATCCGCACACACCCACACCCACACCCTACACCCACCCGCATTCCCATCCACA